AAATGTCAAGTTTTAAAATATGAGTTAAAATAATAATATATTACGAACATAGAAGTTTTAAACAAATTTTTACACTTTATAAATAAATATTAAATTATAATAATATATTACGAACATAGAAGTTTTAAACAAATTTTTACACTTTATAAATAAATATTATATTATTTATAAAGTGTAAAAATTTGTTTAAAACTTCTATGTTCGTAATATATTATTATTTTAACTCATATTTTAAAACTTGACATTTTTGCCTGAAGATGGTGTATAACCGAAACTAGTCGCAAATAAAGAATTTCACACAAGCAAGGAAGTATACATTATTTTTAAAAATTAAACATTCCATAAACCTTGCTAAAAATGGATTACCAAAACCTAATGTAATTTTATTAGATTTAACCGATGGTCCACTAAACTCAAGAGAAGACAGGCTTGATTTATAATTATTGTATTGTTTAATCCAACTTTGTTTAAAAGGTATAGTTTTATTAATTTAAGAATATCATTTTGGTTTGTTTAATTAATACACTGAAAGAAATTTGTTGCTAAAAGTAAATACAAATTTATACTAAAAATTTTATACTAGTGCTTTACACATTTATACTACTGTTTATTATGAATGTATGGTAAATTTTGTAATACATTTATTGTAAAGAAGATATGTTAGATCTAAATAAAAATAAACTTACCCTTACTATAAAATGTAAACTATAAGTGAATTACAGCAAAAAAATATTGCTAGAAACACCATTTATATTGCTAGGGCAGCAATAGGCTGCTAACCAAACGAATATATTTGTTTTAGCAATGTATGTGGTAGTCTATATATGAAACATAAAATATATTTGCCCTAATTATTTTTTTATTTAACTTTAGTATATATTTCTTTCAGTGTACGTGTAAATAGTTTCTTTTAAGAATACCATTTTCTTGCAGTATGCATCTTTCAAGCATACCATTTTATTAAATCAATATATTTACAGATTTTGACTGAAACTTACTGTTTTGTTGAAAATAACAAGTTTTTGATTGAGAAAATTGTATGACATTATTAATGTACTTGCTACATTTTAAGGCACCTTCACCATTTTTTTAAGTATCCATACTCGCTAAAAAATTGTAATAGTAACAAAAATTATATCAAACAACCTAAATCATGTAAGCTTTTGTACTTGTAGAACATATCAATTCTATTCTAATACTTTTATACATTAATATAATATATGTAAGTAAGTACAGGCCCGTTCCTGGGGTGTCTGGCGCCTGCGTGCAACATTCGTTGGTGCGCCCCTTTTATATTTAAATATAATACATTAAATATTTGAATTTTAAGCCGTAAAATTTAAAAAATATATATTTTGCGACAAACTGACAATATGTAATTAAAAATATAAAAAAACCGCTTAAATTAAGTATAAAAAATATTTATTAAATTACCAAACAAACAAGTAATATCATAAGGGCATCTATTTTTTCGAAAAAAATCAAAAAAACACGTTGCAAAGTAATATTTTAACAAGAAGCAACAAAAATCCTAGTCAAAGACGAGGATTTTTGCACCTGCACGAATGCATTTTGTTAAAAAATATTACTTAGCATTGTGTTTTAACGATTTTTTTGTAAGTAATATCATAAAAGCATCTAATTTTCCGAAAAAAATCGAAAAAACACGTTGCTAAGTAATATTTTAACAAAAAGCATGAGTGCTGGTGGCAACAAAAATTCGAGTCGAAGAGGAGGATTTTTGCACCTGCACGAATGCATTTTGTTCAAAAATATTACTTAGCATTGTGTTTTTTCGATTTTTTTCACAGGAAAAATTAGATGCCCGAATGGTATTTGACAAGACTATTTCATGAGTAACAGTTAACAATTAAAATATAAATTGCAATTTTTGGTGACAACAGCTGTCAAGTTTTGCCGAATATGTAATGCCGAAAATGTAATTCAAAATTGCGCGTTTGTGATTGGTGGAAATTAAGACGAGGGAAATAGTCAGTGATAAAAATACTCTAAAGAAAAAAAAAACAATCTAAACAATATAATAACTACAACTGGTTTTTAGTGACGTACTCTCTAAAAATGACTAGTTTTCAAAGTAAAAAAGCAGTAACTAATAACTTTAGTCCACAGCTATTTGTATCCCGGGCATTTAACAGCTTATTATTATGTAAAATTGTCCCCTGAATCCGAAAATACCGCCAAAAATTATAAAAGGGGCATTCCACGTTACTCGGTAATTTTTGTCCCGCCCGTCACAATTAAAAATTGTGAGTAAAAACCACAAGTTATAAAATTAATATTTTATAATATTATTTTTATTGTGCTTATAACCTATTAAAAGCATAATAAAACAATATTTTTATATAAATTTTATAACGTGTAGTTTTTACTCACAATTTTTAATTGTGACGGGCGGGACAAAAATCCCCGAGTAACGTGGAATGACCCAAAAGTAAAGCAGTTTTTAAGATATAGTCAATACCATATTATATGGAAAATTTACTAAATCTCAAAAACGTTCTACTTTTATAACTTTTGACGACATTTTCGGATTCAGCGGACAGTTTTACATAGGATTTGACTGCTAAATATCCGGGATACAAATTACTATTAACAATAATTATTAGCTGCTTTTTCGCTATTGCAATTAGACTAATTGAATTAGTCATTTTTGACTTTTATTTTAGAGAGTTACTACTGTTAAACTTTGCTACCGTCAACTGCAACTATCAAACAAATTTTAAAGATAATATGACCATTTCTCTTCTTTTATTTTGATCCTCATATCAAAACAAAATAAGCAGCCAATATCGATGAAAATAGATTATCAGTTCAAGAATATTATGTTGTATTCAATTAACAATACCATACCAGTTTAAATGTAGTATTTTAACTTGCTTTATTTAATAAAAGTTACTGATTAAAGCAAAAAAAAAACGTACTTGGCTTAAGAATAAGGAATAAAAAAAATAATTCTTAAAAGAAACCGCTGATACATTTTAAATTAAGAATATATTCTTAATTGAAATCTTATTTAACTTAACTGTAGTGAATATTTTTAAGAAAATATTAATTCTTAAAATAGGATTTTTTTTGTGTGCAGGGGTAGGGGATAAAAATTTGATTTTGAACTCTACATTTTAATAGAAAATTAATTAAAAATTTAATTTAAAAAAAAATTGTGTTAATTTAAATGTTATAGGGGAAGGTGGGGGAATTCTGCGCATCTAAGCAAAATCTCTAGTATCTTTGTTAAGTTTAAATGTGAAATTTTGCAATTAATACCAGCGATAGTCTACTATGTTTACTATGTGGATACATATAATGCGCAATTTATAAAAAAAAATTGTTTAGTATGCAAAAACTACATTTTTTTAAATAATGCATTTGCGCAAAATTACCCACCTATCAGGGTAATTTTGCGCATCATGGGGGGAAAATTTGCGCTGTAAAGAGAAAGATGTGTAAGTATCTAAATAAACCGTTTATTTCTATAATAGTATTATATTAAAACATAAAAATAAAACAAAACTTTTTTTTCTATGAAACAAACAAGATCAAAAATAAATAACTAAAAATAAAATTTTTGTTCTTAGAAATAAGAGGGTCTACATGCAGCAGTTGTCACATATGTATACAACTATAGTTTTAGGGGTTGTTTTTTACGCTACACTCCGCGTGTGCCCAAATGGAACTGTTTATGATGAACAATCTAGGCTCCTGTACCAAAAACTCCCATATTGGCCAAATTTTGCAGCGCAAAATTACCCCAATTTTTCAGCGTAAAATTACCCCCATTGCAAGAAAAATATTGTGATACTAAAAAACATTCCAAAAGTTAACCTGAACAATTTAAACATACACCAGATTACGAGGAAAGATCATATAAAGTTGTGTTATAAACATTTAAGCGATTGGACAGAAATTTAAACTTAACTCGTAGCGGAAACGACATGGATTTCTTAGATCAACGTACATGTATCACAGTTAGCTAGTGACCATGGTCACTAGCTAAAAGCTACAAGCTTAATTGCGGTACACTTTAGTCCCCGTATACCCAAAGCAACGTTTCCAAGTTTGCAACATTCAAAAAATGTATTATTTACTTCATATCTGGAAGAATTGTTTATGCGTAAAATTACCCACCGCGCAAAATTCCCCCACCTTCCCCTAATGGATTATACGTACGTAAAACATATTTAGAATTTTTTTTAATGTACAAACTTATATTTTGGCAAAGGGTTCAAGGGAAAATAACATAAGGTAATAAAGGGGATTGATAAAATTGTATATATATAAATACAATAAATATTCGTACTATAAAAATAATAACACGACAGCATTTATTTATAGAAAAATAAAACCAATTTAATATTTTTCAAGCCTATAGTAATTTTCATATTATAGAACAGTATAGTCCGTATAGTAAGACTAATACTAGTATAAAATGTCATCATGTAAGTTGAATTTAACCTAAAAACGTCTAACTCGCAGCAAAGTAGCAACAGCAGCCCAGCAGATAAGACCTTTTTTCTTGAAAATTTATTCAAAAGTTATTATTTTAGTAAAAGTAGTAATTTTGTTGATCAGTATGTATGGATAAGGAATGCCTGACTCACGGATTCTGAATTGAAAATTACTTTTAAAATTCAGTCCGTTCGCCTTTTAGTTATTTTATTGAAAAGTTCATGGACCTTACATCCAGGGCCGTAGCGACGGACTCAGGGGCCCCGGTGCAAAACTTTAGGATAGGATAGGATATCGAAAATTACGATTTTTTAGTAAGACTTTTTAGTTTTGGGGGCCCCTTTGAGGTCGGGGGCCCTGGTGCACCGCACCGCCTGCACCAGCCTCGCTACGGCCCTGCTTACATCCATTGCAAATTGCAATTTGCAATGGAATCTAACTTAAATATACCTAATTATTAAAAATTATGTGTTAAATAATGTTACAATTAGTTAAAATTTTGCATTTTCTTTAAATTAAATAAATTTTTACAGGTAAAAGAGGAAGGAGCCTTGACAACATTTGTCCTGTGGGAGATCCTTTAAGAATAAGTGATACTGTACGACCATTTTTATGTGGTACTGACCCCACGAAACCACAGTGCCCTCCGATGTACCAATGCTTAGTACAAAAAGGTAATAACTTAAAATATAACATAAAAAATATAATATTATAATAATATTTTCTTAGGAAATGATTATGGCGTGTGTTGTCCCGCCTCGTTAAAGATACAAAAAACAGGAACATGTCCAGCTATAATCGAGGAAAATTTTGAGTGCGGAAATATGTGTACTCATGATTTGGAGTGTCCTTCGGTGCAGAAGTGTTGCAGGACCGATCAGTGCGGTTCGTCGTGTATGCATCCCAAAAACGTGACAGGTAAGATTTTTTGTCCTAATTTGCAAATAACTCACTTACAAATTAAAATAACACAATGAACAACAATTTTGCTCTTTTACAACTTAAAACGCAACAAGTTGCTGACCAACAACAAAATTTTAACATGTTGAATAACGAAAAATGCATCTTGGCTGCCAAATTGACAAAACACGTTTGCCGTTGGCGCATGCTTGACGATGTATACGGCTATTTGCTTTTGGTAAGGAAGACAGTGGAGGCCTAATCAGAACGTGGAGGCGTAATCAGAAAATGTGCCAAATGTGAACCAAAAAGGGGCGTTGAAGTAAAGAATTAAATCAAGCACATTTGTAGGATATGTCAAAAGGAAAACGTCAAAACTTATTTAAATAAGGAGGGTAGCGTGCTGTTTTATATAATTAATATTAATCGACGACATTCTTTAATTTCTTTTTACGCAAAAACACAAAACAAACTTGGTAACACCTCGAAGCGACGCCATTTCTTTGGCACACTTCACAACGCCTGTGTGGAATAGGCGTTACGCGTCCATTCTCTTTAATTGTGTGGTTGCAGTTAGTTATCTGACAAATAATTTCCATGGATACCATATTGTTTTTACAACGATCTATATGAAATTTAACTGTCAGATAGACTAACTGGAACTTAACCAGAGATTGATAAACCAGCCCCAAGGGTATTACACTGTGTACTATTGCTTTACACCCACTGTGACACTTGAATACAAATAATTGAGGCAATAATCTGTCAGTTTAAACCAAATTTTGTTGTGTGTAAAGGTCTCAATTTAAAACAGAAAATATAGGTACAGGGTGGTCCACGTAAGGTGACCCATATACTTATCTCAGAAACTACTGGAGTCACAAAAAATTTGTTAGGGAGAAATATTCACGTAGTAAAAAATATTTTTAAAATATTATATTTTAATTTATACAGGGTGTTCGGTTTTCCGTGGGACGATACCAACTTTCTTATTTTCAATGGAACACCCTGTATTTTTTTGCATTTTTGGATTCTACACACTATTTTAGGTATACTTTGTAAATATATTAATTAGGAAAATGTTAATACTTTTTGAGTAAAATTAAAATTTATCAAAATTTCTCTAAATGTAGACATTCGCTAAAAGTTAAAAATAACCAAGTAAAACTTATTATTTTGTATATTATGTAGTATTCATCTCTTTAATAATAACCAAGCTTAAGTTAATTTTTTTTTTTATAAAATATTATACAGGGTGCTTTTCTATGCTCCGTGGAACACCCTATATATTTTTACATAATTGGATAAAATATGTAATTTCCTTTCTCTTTATATATATATATATATATATATATATATATATATATATATATGTCCTATATCTAAACCCAACAGAAAAAAAAATATTCGCATTTTTCACAATTAGTAGCTTTATGCGTATGGTAATTATTATTATAATAATATATATAAGAGGATTTTTATTTTAATTTATTTATTTAATAATGGAAATATAACTAAGGTAATTGGAAAATCCACAAAATTAATTTTCTACCTTATTGTTATTAATAAATTACCTTACTATTTGGGAATACCATCAGGATTAAAATAGGGACGAGTGTATTCTTTTTGATGTGTATACTTCTACAATATTAAATGATTAAAATGGAAGCAGATTTAATCTGGAAAATAAATAAAACAAATTTCAAAAGTATAAACAATATATTTTAAATTAAATGTTCCTTTAAAATGCAGGTATATAATATCTCTAATCTTCTTGTAACAAGCTAACAATCGTAATTATCGAATTAAAGTAATAGCAGATTTACCTTTTATTTGTTTTATAGTACTTCTTTATTACCTAAATTAAAGATTAATTTTTTCCGAATACACTCGTGCCTAGTTTAATCCTGAGGGTATTCCCAAAGAGAAAGTAAGGTAATTTATTAATAACAATAAGGTAGAAAATTAATTTTGTGGATTTTCTAATTACCTTAGTTATATTTCCATTATTAAAATAAATAAATTAAAATAACAACAAATAAAAATGCTCTTATATTATAATTATAATAATAATTACCATACGCACAAAGCTACTAATTGCGAAAAATGCGAATATTTTTTTTCTGTTGGGTTTAGGTATAGGACATATAGTAGGAGTATATATATACATATATATATATATAAAAAAACAAGATGTTGAACTTTTAAAATCGCTATTTTCAACGGAGCATAGAAAACACCCTGTATAATATTTTATAAAAAAAAAAAGATTTAACTTATAGCTCGGTCATTATTAAAGAGATGAATACTGCATAATATAAAAAATAATAAGTTTTAGTTGGTTATTTTTAACTTTTAGCGAATGTCGACATTAGATCTACATTTAGAGAAATTTTGATAAATTTTAATTTTACTCAATAAGTATTAACATTTTCCTAATTAATATATTTATAAAGTATACCTAAAATAGTGTGTAGAATCTAAAAATGCAAAAAATACAGGGTGTTCCATTGAAAATAAGAAAGTTGTTATCGTCCCACGGAAAACCGAACACCCTGTATTAATGAAAATATAATATTTTAAAAGTATTTTTTTCTACGTGAATATTTCTTCCTTGCAAATTTTTTGTGACTCCAGTAGTTTCTGAGATAAGTATATGGGTCACCTTACGTGGACCACCCTGTACATATCGCACATGGGCGACAACAGTGTCATAAGTCGAAAATGCTCGGTGAAAAAGAGTGTGAGTGAGGTGATTGGATACAACGAATAATTTTTCGTGGATTACCAACACAGAAACAACACGTGTTAATAGTTGGCTGTCGAGTTTAAGGAATAATTTCACAACTCCTGCCTGTAAATTCACCTGAAGTCATAGTCTACATAAACAGGATAAATAAACCTACCAAAATTAGATGACCTTAATAATACCCAAATACTAAATTTTAGTTTAAAATTCGCAACCTTAACTTATAAAGTATTCCATCAAGTAAAAATTAATTAGTCGCCAACAGTTTCAATAAGAAAAGCAAGCATAGCCAAAAAACTCATAAATAAGGGCTCACATAAGCAGTTATTAAACAAGTTCAGATAAACACTAGGCAAAAGAAATTTATCCTTAAGAAATAAACATGTAATGTAGATTACTAAGCACATTTAAGGGAACCATAAATTACCTTCTATGCAAAATAATAATAAACAACCGCACAGTGGGGTGCAACGTTATTGATAGTCAGCAAGCTCGGAATCTGACTCGGACAGAGATACGGATTCACACGAACAGGAAGTACTTCAAGACCAGCAAGGATAGGTCCTAGCAGCGTACTAACCAATCAAGCCCTATTTATAAACCCCAATTGAATGGGGTAATTACTAAATCCCTGGTTGAGGGGAACTCCGGATTGTACTTAGTTTTGGGTCATCCACCAAACACAGGCAATGCTGTGCAGAGCGGGATGCGTAGGAGAACAGAAAGGGGGTAAAATAACCCTGGAAAATCAGTGTAAGGCGTTGCCGATGGGGCCAGTCATACGTTCTTCATATTCATAATCAACAATAAAAGAATAAATAATTAAAAAAATGATCAACATATTTTTATCAATACAGACATATCTGCAAAATGCATCCACATATTTTCAGCAAGTCTAGACATATCTCCAAAATTGATGAACACCTTCTTCGGCAACAGAGTATTTTCTAAAATCTAATTTTTAACTGGCTCATAATATTACTGTGGTTCTTCCTTTTCAAAAAAATACTTAATTTAATTTTACAAATATGTGAGAATTTTATTATTCAAAAATCTTTGACGGTCATTATCTCGGAATTAAGGTTTTACTACTTATGATTAGTGTTGTCACTGAAAAAAAACAGTCTTGTTTTTTTTCAAAAAAAAATGTTTTTTTTAGAAAAAAAACAGAGGTCCTTGTTTTTTTTTCAAAAAAAAATGTTTTTTTTCAAAAAATGGTCAAAAATACTCAAATTATATTAAGTGACAGGATTTTCGAAATGCCACTGCTGAGGAAAGAATTTTTGGCACATTCTGTCACTAGAAGAATATTAAATACTAATTATAGTTTCTTACTTACCATTAGTAATATTCTTAAACAAATTGTTTAAAGTTGTTGGCTTTTGCCCTGAGCCTTCTCTTTTCGGCATTTCTACAAACTATGCATCAACCTTTAAAGCCGCAGGTCTTAACTCTTCTATTATAATACCGTATAGACTCTACGATATGCTGAGTCAGCATTGCCGACAGCGAGGCGCTCTTTTACCATACGTGGGTGGGGATGAAAAAAAACACCTTTTGTTTTTTTTTCAGTGAAAAAAAACATGTTTTTTTTCACGTGTTTTTTTTCAACTGAAAAAAAACGTTTTTTTTTACAACACTATCTTATTTTCTGAAAATAATACAATATATCGCACATGGGCGACAACAGTATCATAAGTTATGATACTGTTGTCGCCCATGTGCGATATATTGTATTATTTTCAGAAAATAAGACGAGATTAGCGTTATACAGAAATAAAGATATCCTCAATAATTTGTATTAAAATATCAAGGTGGGACTTTTGGGTGTCGAGGCTCCACACCAGTGGCGGCTGGTGGATTTTGGGTATACCAATATCTCAGTAATGGTAAAAAATCTGTAATATTTGGATTTTTTAAATTTGTCGATAGCTTCGACATAAATTACACCACTTTAATTTGAATTATCTTAAATAGGCGACACGAAAAACTAACTTTTATTCGCAAACTTCAATTTAAATTCTGTTTTCGCAATGTCATTATAAACTATTATAAATTTGGTGTGGGTCCCATGTCAAATAACTGAGATCTCAATATCTATATTGGTATACCTACCCAAAATCCACCAGCCGCCACTGCTCCCCACCCAAAAGTTCATCCTTGATCACAGTGGAGCATAGTGCATAAAACATTTTTTTATTTAAATTGATATTTAAATGATTTATGGTATTTTTGGTGATTTTTTTTTACTAAAGTAAGAAGTGTCAAATTTAGTTAAATTCATATATAATTGAGTTTAACTCCATTTAGGCTATTTTGAAAAAAATATAGATTTTTTTGTTATAATAAATATAAATATAATAATAATAATAATAATAATAATAGGTATATAAATAATTATTTATACATTAGTAAAATTAGTAATCATATAATTAAATTGCTATATTTTTAACAACCAACCCACCTGTTCAAGAACATGCTTTTACAACTTAAATCTTAGGATCCTCTCTGACATTTTACTTTAGCACGTTTTGCAGATTTGTTATTGACTTTTACAAAAACTAGTACACTATATAAAAAACAACGTACCTAAGTACACACCTTGCTTCTATCCAGATTAATAAATAACCTTTAAACAAATTTCAAATTTTCTTTATTTCATAATTTATCCAATTACCTAATATTCAAGGTACCTAGGTATATAAAGTAAAGTGTGGTTTCTCCAACTAAACAGAAAAAACCTCGACGACTTATACGCTTTTTCCCATCATTACAAAAACGTGATGGAGATTCTAAACTCCTGCAATTCAATTACCGTATTTATTCGCAAATACTAATCTTGAACTTATAAACACACCTTTAAAAAAAATCTTCCCATAATTCAATCGGCAATCCCGCAGGGTTGGCATTTGTTTTCGCAACATCCGTTGCTAATGGCAACCGAGCCTTAAATTATCCGTTTAACATTTTTTTTTGCTTTAAAAGTTTATCGGGAATCGTGCATACTTCGGTTGAGATTGTGCAATTGTCAATGTGCTAAATAATGTTATTAAATAAAAGAAGACCCTGCAGGGTGACTTACATGTAAGTCAAGCAAAGGTGTGGTGAATTATTGTGTTGCGATTTTATTAAATGTCATACTGAAATTATAAGTAAATGATTAATAACCATAGATATAAACATTCAGAAAAACATTGATAAATATAAGCTTAGTTTTTCCCCCAAAGGACCCCATAGGTTTTAATAAAATGTTGTCAAATGTTTTATGGTTGTTCTATAGGGATATCCCTATATATCCTTCATTGAGTTATTTGCTATCGGTCTCAATAGGGAAAATGTAAAAGATATCTTGTGCCTATATATATATATATATATATATATATATATATATATAGGTAATTTTCTATAAATTTTCTATCGGGCCGTATAATAGATAGATTATAATTATTTTAAATATGTCTCTATGGGGTATTTTAAGCAGGGTAGAGTTATAATGTATTAGTATGTTATAATAGGACAGATAATGCAGGCTATTATTCATGAGGATGAGGTTTGCCTCTCTAGTCGCCAGACGAAAGACTCACATCATCCGAGTGAATAGGGCATAATCTCGACTGTAGTACTATACTTCATCTACTTCAATAAGAAGATAATTAAATGATTTTCAAAAATAAATAAATAAAACCTGACATCTGTTAAAAGGTTAACCTTATTTTTTACCAATTTTAAATGTTGTCATAGTAAATATTGAAATCGGCCAATCACTGATGCCTAACAACTTGAATAATGACTTAATTATTCCCGTTGTTAGACAAGGAAATTATAATGTTTATTCACGAAAAAATATTATAAATTACGAGTACCTACCTACCTACCCTCTTAATATCGCTGAGTACCTATTCATTTTTGAGATTTTCCACCAAATATAAAGTCGTGTCAATTTTAGTTCTCTTAAAATTATAAGAGCAACTTTGACAGCCTGTAATTTTTACCCAGTTTTAAAAGTAATAATATCAAATTTTAGATATTTTATTCGCATAAATGTAATATCCAGTCGTATCAATTTTTGTTCAAATTAAGACTTTGACAGTTTTTAGTTTTGTTATTTTTTACCCAATCTATGCCCAATCCGTTAATTTTAGACATGTAATTTTTCTAGAATGTTTTCATCAAAAGGCTCTATCTGAAATTTTGACAATTAGTGAAAGAGCTGGTCGTGGTTACGTACCACAATGTTCAAGTGATGGTCAATTTGAACCAAAACAGTGCAGCAGAAATGGGTTGGTTTGTTGGTGCGTGGATAGGATGGGCAGAAAATTGAAAGGATCTATGGGACCTTCAGAAAACGTCAACTGTTCCATTACAGATGGTAAGAAATAGATAAAAATACGACTTAAATTTAGATAAAATCTAACTAAATATCTTTTTTCTTAGCTCGTGTCCAGTCTTCTGGAAGATCTTTGGACAAAAACGGAAAAGAATGCGAACAGCTCGAATGTGCGGCAGTTTGCGAATATGGTTTCAAACTAGACGAAGATGGTTGTCATTCTTGTAAATGTGACGACCCCTGCGATGGTTACATGTGCCCTGAAGACGAAGAATGCGTTAATGTCAAAGAATCTACTTGCACCGATTTCTTGTGTCCATCTCTACCAGTCTGTAAGTTTTGAGTAGTTTTTTAGAATTGTTAACAAATATAAGTGTCTCTAGCTCAGGGCCAGAACCGGGTCAACCGGGAAAATGCCCTTAAAAGTAATCTCCATTAGATATTACACACTGGCATATGCCAGCGATTCTTTCTATCCCCGGAATAGAACACTTCTGGTACTTAATCTTTTGGATAGCTTTGAACTCTTTCAGCGATGCGCATTTAATATAATCTATAAATGTGAAACGATAACCCTTTAATGTTTTCTATATTTTTGGGAACAAAAAGTCACACGAGATCAAGTCTGGATATTATTGAGACTGGGGCGTCATTATAATACGGTTTTTTTTTTTAAATTTACGATCATTTTTTCCACTTCCTCCACGTTTTTATCGGTTGATGTGCTAGGGCATCTAGGGTGCATGTCATTTTCAATGTCTTATAAGAAAATGCAGTAAGTTTTTTCAACGAATAAATAGCAAAGCAAAGCTTTTTCGACAGTTGACAACAGGCTAAACATCAGATACGGCTACCAATTTGCAGAACACAAGAAAAACAAAAATTCCCGTTATTTCCTGAACACACCTCGTATTTAAATTTACCTGAAAAATTTGTTCAGTCTCCATTGAACATTGAAACTTATCAAGGAATCCCCTTCATTTGGTTCTGCCCCGAAGCCACTTCATGACCTATAGACCAAGCTCCGGCCCTGCTCTAGCTATCTTCATTTTATAACTTTAAATAAATAAAGTTGTTTAAAAATTAGATATAAAATATAATCATCTCTTTATTACTTTAGGTCGTCCAAAGGCAATTTACGCGAACCCCTGCGAGCAAGGTACGCCCCTGACCGACGATTTGAGCGGTGCTCCAGTGGCGTGCGCTCTAAGAACTGAAGACGGGACGATTTGCCCGAATAATTATGAATGCACGGCAGTGGCGGGTTCTACGCAGGCAGTGTGTTGTCAGAAAAACGAAGAGCTCGAAGCTGAAGCCTCCGAAGCTTCCGAGGATTATGAAAATGGTGATATGAGACCGCAATCAAGTAAGAGAATAAGACAATTTTCTTTTAAAAGAAATTATAAATATATATATATATATATATATATATATATATATACGAGTAAATATTTAAATCTTTGACCTCACAGCAAACGGAAAAATATAGAAGTGTATAGGATGACTCCCCGTTTGAATACTAAATCTTAAAGTTTTATCAGAACTGTATTGAATCGTGCTTTGTTTTTATATTTTTCGCTCTCTTCAAAGACATAGAAACTCAAGCTTTTCGAATTTTACTGGCAATGATTTTCGTTAATGTCTCCAAGAATTATAAAAAAGCAGCGCAATGCATTATCGCAACTGTTTCGACTTCTCTTTACTCTACCAAGTTATAGAAACTGGAGTCTTTCTAATACTGTTCTAGTCAATATTTCTAAAAGCATAAAAAGAAGTTTTGATCTTTTGATGGATGCAAGTATTTTGAATATTCTCATTTCTGCATTTGGTTTTGTTGAAAACCGTAACAAATTGGGCATGTAAAGCACAGAGGATATATCATATATGATGTAAAGTATATTTATGTATTACCTATATAAAGTACCTATATTTGTATTAAAAATTTCAGTGGTTATGTTGAAAAAACGATATGCTATTTAACTTTAATTATTATTTTATTTTAGTAATGAGGTCTGTTGGTATAGACCCTGCATTATCTCCACTGGTATATGTTAATACAGCAATATTTAAATATGGTTGATCAAAAAGTACACACCAGTGCAGGTTATTGTAGCATCTACGAACAAAGGAATTAATGGCCCATTGGCAATTATTCCTTTAGGAAAAATATTCAACACAGCTTAATTAATTAATGAAATAAAAAAAAACTACAATCACAATTGGCGAGATTTGGAAAACTGTATTCAAAAGTGGCGTCATCCAATACATTTCTATATTTTTCCGTTTGCTTTGCTACCAAGTTAAAATTTGGTACACATTTACAAAACATATCAAAGAAAATGTGTACCAAATTTAGAAATTGGGTAGAGAAGAAAACAAAATTACATACTTGGTTATTCTATTGATATATATTGAACCTTTTGACCTACAAAAGACATATTTTGTTTTTATTTTATTTTAGTGTGCGAATACTTGCATGATTTCGGTGAGAGCATGGAGGGTACCAGAGAAGGCATGCGCCTAGCCATACCCCCTCCAGAATGCGATCAAGAAGGCAACTATCTATCAACCCAATGCTCTAACGGTCAATGTTGGTGCGTTGATAGCTTCGGCACGGAAATACCTAAAACAAAAGCTTCTCAAAACAGCACTAAAAACTGCGAAGATCTCAGAAAGAGCAAGGAGTGTTTAGATCTCACTTGCAGAATGGGGTGCGAATATGGTTTTATTTTGAGCGATGAGACAGGGTGTCCCCTTTGTCAATGCAGAGATCCCTGCAGTGGGGTGGAGTGCAAAATTGATGAGCAATGTCAGTTGGTAGAGGTAATATAATATATATTTTAAATATCTTTCGACTCCTTAGACCTACAATCTCAAAATTTTGGCACTCATATTATTTGATATGTTTTGTTCGTGTGTGCTAAATTTTAACTTTGTAGGTCAAAACATTTAGAACGATAATTAGAGAAGAAAATAAATATGTAATTTTATTTTCTTCTTAAAAATCTCTAAATTTGGTATACATATTCTTTGATATGTTTTCTAAATGTATGTCAAATTAACTTTGTATGTCTAAAGATGCAAAAGATATTAAAAAAAATAAAAAATATTTAACATTATAGGTAAGCTGCAAGGATCATTATTGCCCCCCTGTACCAGCATGTCTTCCAAAAAAAGTCGGCCAATGTCCATATTTAGTCCCAGCAAGCACCACCACATGTGATTTCGAATGCAACTCAGATTTAGCTTGCAATGGAACCCAGAGATGTTGCTCCAATGGATGCGGTACCCAATGTACAGAGCCCCTTCTCCTAACAGCGTGCCAACATCAAAGGAATTTAGCCCAACACCAAGCTCACGAGTCTGGTATACCAGCAAACAAAGTGTACATGCCCAAGTGTCAAGCTGATGGGTCATATGAAGCAAAACAATGCAACTCAGGTACAGGCGAATGCTGGTGTGTCGATATAAGCGGTTTTGAAGTATCACAAACAAGAAGCAAATTCAACGAACCACTCTCTTGTGATTCTCTTTCAAAATCAAACAAGTGTCCTCAATTGGAATGCGATGAAGATTGCGAACATGGCTATGAGATGGATGAAGATAATTGCAGAACTTGCGATTGTGTAGATCCATGTTCGAAAATATCCTGTAGAGGAGAAGGCGAAACTTGTAGATTAGTTACTGTGGAATGTACAAGTTATCCTTGCCCCTCTGTACCTATGTGTTTGCCTAAGAAGGAGAACCCATGTCAAAGCGGAGAACCACTAGGTTAGAATTTTAAAATTATTTCTGATATAGTCTTGATGTTATGTTTTTTTCTTTACTCCCTAGTCCTACAATCTCCAAATTTGATACACATTTTCTTTGATATTTTTTGTATAAAAATTTATCAAATTTTTACGTTCTAGGAGATTAAAAAAAGAACACAATTAAGAATATCAAGTCGTATACCTATATTATTATTAAAATTTCTTTCAGAATACAAAATAAAGTCTGTCAGACATATTTTAGATTGTTTAAACCATGTTTAAGAATGTCAAACTTAAGAATAATAAGACATTTTAAAAATAGAAAAAAAACAATTTTGGAATGTTTAAAAGTTCTATTAATTTTGTGTACTAGGTTTTAACGAAGAACTAGTTACATGCGGCCCAGACTTCGAATCCTGCCCAACTTCGCACAAATGCCAACTTTCTCCAGTGGGCGAATACGCAGTTTGTTGTCCAAAACCTAGAGACGTGTGTTTCGAATCTTTGGACAAAGGAAAATGCGTGGATCCAGAGGAAAACACCAACGTTACCAGGTTCTACTTCAACTCGAGAACCAATAAATGCGAGCCATTCATTTTCAGCGGATGCCAAGGAAACCACAATAATTTCCAGAGCGAATTCATGTGCAACACGGTTTGTCCAGTTTTGAGTCAATGCGAACGACTTCGTGAAAAAAATCAACGTGTAGCCGAGCGATATAAAAAACCAACGTTTTCGCCACGTTGTGAATCATCTACTGGTACCTGGCAACCTGTGCAATGCTTAGAACATGTTGGGGTTTGTTGGTGCGTCACCCCGCAAGGAGAACCACTTAAAGGTAATATTTATGGACTGGAATACCCAGTATATTCTATATTTTGGAAATAAATTCTTTAATGCGTTGTATATATGTGTACAAAATTTTAACATTGTAAGTCAAAGACATCGAAGATATTAAGAGAAGAAAAACAGTGTTATTTTGTGCGTTGGTTTTTACTTCCTTAAATATCTTCCGACTTCCGACATATATAAATATATATATACATATATACATATATATGGTGCAAATATTTTTAAATATGTCGTGTATTATACAAATATAATATTTGTACAAAATTTTAACTTAATTGTGAGCTTAAACGTCTAGAAGATATTAAAAGAAGAACATGTACCTATTTATTTAAGGAACCCTTACTAGAGGTGCAGAACCTGAATGTAACTTCAGACAAGCTCGTACCAGAGCATCGAACAGAAACGACTTTGTCAGCGAAGCCGACTTGGTTCTTGAAGAATTGATGATGCAAATCGGTTCTTTCGATGACGCTGATGAACCTGAAGACCTCAAAAATGAAGATGAAGAATTGAAGGAGGCGATAGCGTGGGAGTACACTTCTACTACGAGGTGTAAAGCTTTGGGAGGTCAGTGTGATGATTCTGGAAAGTTTTTGCCCACGCAATGCGAGGATGATACTTGTTGGTGTGTGGATGAAGCTGGCAACCAGCTGCCACAAACCAGTACTTTTACTAGAGGCGAAAGAACTTGTTGTAAGTATTTTAATTACCATTGGGGGAACAATAAATAAAATTTGTTTTTCAGCCACAACTCCTGTGGAAAGCGTAGAGGTAACTCTGGGCTTTAGAGGAGAGTTTGATGATATTTCAGCAAGTCCTGTAGTGAACAAAATCATAAAAATTGTAAAAAATCTTAATGGAAATATCCACCAAAATGGTCTTAAAACAGATATTGATTCTGACGCTCTATACGTAAAATTTTCACTTATTGGCAGTAACAAAGTTGATGTGGCATACAATGTAGAACAAATGGTAAACAAAATGACATGATTATAATATTTGTCCTAATTATATTGTTTTTTAGATTATGCAACAAATTTTGCCAGGCCTTACAGCCGATATTACAAGGTCCAGAGTTCTACATAAATTATTCTCAATTGACACAGCACAAGAACAATTTATCGCTCTAGAACATAGAGAAATAGTTTCTCAATCGCCAGTTTCCGTAGTAGCTCCGTATCATACAGCTTTAATAGTTATAGCTGCAGCTTCAGCTTTCGTCATATGCGTTTTAACTCTCCTGGTTATCCTCTACAAAAGAAAGGTACATATTTTTTATGAACTGTACTGTTTCTTATTTAAATATATTTTGATTAACAAGACTTACAAGCGTTAAACCTGCCACACATATCCTTGGAAATGTTTTGTAAGTGTGTACCAAATTGTTTCTGGATCCAAATATGCACAAGATGTCATTTTTATATATCTTTTGACTCCTTAAATATATATTTTTAAGTTTGGTACACATATTCTTTGAAATGTTTTTTAAATATTTACCAAGTTTTAAGTTTGTAGGTCAAAATATGAAGATATTAAGAGAAGAAAAAATTGTCATTTTGCTAATGTTTTTTCTTTTCTTTTTATCTTTTAACTTTTTCGACTAAAATTAATAACGTTTAGCGCACATATTCATTGGTATGTTTCTTTAATATCCTTGGTACAATCGTTAAAGTTGGTATAGATGTTCATAACTTTGTATTGTTTTAGATGAATCATTTAAACAACAAACAAATCATCGAGGATAACCGATTTTTGTCGAATAACAGACCGATTTACATAGAATTGCCCAATGAGAAGTACAGTACAATCAAACCTGATATAAGGCAGAAATAGATTTTTATTCTTAAGTTGTAACTTGTAAAAATTAGTTTTGTATACAATATCAGAAGCCAGCTGAATAAATCTATGCTCGAATCTATGTATTTTATATATTTTTTTGTGATTTGTAAGACTAAGTTTAGGTATTTTTTATATTTTGGACAGTTTTATTCATTTGGCATTATTTTTAAGTTATTTATATATAAATAAATATGTATATAGTATTTTGTTAGTATTAATTAAAAAAAACAGTTGTAGCTCATACATGGTTTATTGCAAGAATAATAATAATAATAAATAAAAAGGATAAAACAATTCACTTAAAAAAATAATCCCATTGAGTATCACAAATTGTAGAGCAAAAATTTTAAAGAATTTTAACATGAAAATTCCTACAAAAAACTAAAACAACACAGAACTAAAAACTAAAAAAATGGTTTGGAATAAATTTTCATTGGTAGGTTTGTATATCACATTACCAACAGCCTTGTTACAAAAATAATAAAAATTCTACGTTAATTACGAATTCCAATAAATAAAAATCAATTTTTATGTCATGGAATGGAAATAAGCAACAATTATAAGAATAAATAGGTATTTGTATGAAATGGGCTATAAACTAAAATAGCCCATGTTGACTTTTAATTTACCTAAGCAAAATATTACTTAAATTTTACTAACATTTAATATACAATGATTATAAAATTTCACCATAAGCAGCTTTACCTATATGCACCGTTTAGGTGCAAAAAATATATTTTGCCTATAAGCGTATTTTTCAACATCAGGGGCCTTTTGAAATATTTAAATACATGAAAAGCATCAAATAGTGTATTGTTTTTAAATACTGTAAGAGTAAATGCGTAGGTGGTGTAAGAAAGTAAGAATATTATACATAGAGAGGAATTTTTATGCAATTTCCGGCAATTCCTCGATTGCGTTGATTGGCTCTCTCCAATAAATAAATTGTGAATAATCATTCGCAGCTTGCAGCACCGCTGGAAACAGCTGATCGACCAGAGAGGTCATGTTAGAATAACTGAAAAAAAAAGTGTTAATTAAATTTTTTTTGTTAAAATGTAGACGGTATTCCAAAATAACGAGATTATATGTTTTTAATATGGGTACCAAATTTTAAGCAGGTAGGCCTGGATGCAAAAAAAGGAAAAATGCGCCAATCTGTGCATACGTTTTTTTTCCTTAAATATCTTTTAAATCCTCCTAAATTATTCTTATTTTGAACCCATATTCTATGATATTTAACATTATAGGTCAAGAGATTCAAAAAATATTAAGAAAAGAGAAAATCATGTAATTTTTCTTTAATTTTTAATACCTTCTGAATTCTAAATCTTTAAGGTAGTATCTCCAAGAGTTTGATCACAGAACATAAGTGAGTTTGATAAATAAATAACAGTAGGCCGTGACAGCAAATTCAACGGTGCCAATGTAGTAAAAAAAAAGTTCTATAATTAATACTTAAATTAATACTTTATTATAGATTATAAAGTATCATTAAAAACTAAAAAACAACATAAAAAGTACATATGTAACAATAAAAATTATTAAATTGTTGCTATAATTGCAAAATTAAGGTTTAAAACAATAACAATAAAAATTATTAAATTGTTGCTATAATTGCAAAATTAAGGTTTAAAACTGTCATATTTTTGTGTTTTTGTGGTAAAAAAATTGTTTTTTGAGATTGCCATAAGAGTTAAACTGTAATAATTAATCAATTTTTAAGCCATCAATTATCCTTTTTGGTTGCTTAAGTTTAAAAACGAGTGTTATTTCCCATGGGTTATTTTAAAAATTCGTTTCCAAACCTGAGAAACAAAATAGGATAATGTTGATAGCCTTAAATTTGAATATTTTTTATGGAAATTCTATGAGCGAGCTCGTGAGATACAAAATAAAAAAATGGCGTATGAAAACAAAAGTTACTTTTAAAATAATTTTCTTGAAAACTCTTCAAATGGAGATACTACCTTAAATTTTGTAAATGTAATCTTTGATGTTGTTAATATGTGAACCAAATTTTAAGCAATTTTTTTTATTAAATAAACAAAATCCTTTGATATAAATTCTTTAAATTTAAACATTCTTATAAATTTCAAGCAAGTGGGTCTAAAGGAAGAAAAAGAATCTTTTGACTCCTTAGTCCTATTATCATATTCTTTAATATATTGTGTATATACATGGTGTCTACTTAAAAATGAGCAATGCTCTATAAGTCAAGATCTAAAAAAAGATATAAATTTCTCAAAACCGTTTCTAAAATATGTGGGAGGAATCAGTTTGACAAAATTAATCTTTACTAAGCAACCCCTGGGGCTGTAGCCACCCCAACTATTTTTTTGTGATACTTCAATTGAAAGCTCTTGAAAATTGCTATTTAAAAGTACTAAAAAATAATTTTTTAATAGTTTAATTTTTGAAAAATACGCAAATTAATTTTTAAAATTATTTATTCCAATTTCTCGTCATAAATATCAAATTAAACCATTTTGTTGTCGTAAGGACATTAAAAAACAGAAGAACCCAAAATAACAAAAGTTTAGGTATATAAGTATTTTTTATTTGAAATACTTATTACTCGTACTTACAAACCAAATGCAATGTACTCGTAAAAAATACTCTTGGAATTCACGAGTAATATATACGAGTATTTCCGTTTATTATTTCGATGACTTTTTGCCAAAATATCGTAAGCATTAAAACATTTTGTTTGGAAGTCTGTTTTAAATTTTATAATATATAGTATAATATAATATAGTATATAGGTAAAATTATAAACTATTTAAGCTTAAATAGTTTATAATTTTACCTATATCGTCCCCGTTCTGGCAAAAGTCATTAACTCCATTTTTGTCTAAAAGTAGTTAACTACCTTCTCGATCATAGAACAATTATATCTGTGGTCTAGATTTTCTAGACCACAGATATAATTGTTCTATGATCGCGAAGGTAGTTAACTACTTTTAGACAAAAATGGAGTTAATGACTTTTGCCAGAACGGGGATGATATACTATATTATATTATACTATATATTATAAAATTTAAAACAGACTTCCAAACAAAATGTTTTAATGCTTACGATATTTTGGCAAAAAGTCATCGATATAATAAACGGAAATACTCGTATATATTACTCGTGAATTCCAAGAGTATTTATTTAGAGTTGTTATTTTTATTTATTATTTTTTGTACCTGATTTTTAAAATAAATAATTTTATTAATTTGTGTTTGTATTTTTATAGCTCAGGACCAAAGTATGTATAATGTATAATATATATTGATTATTCTTTATATACATTGTATATAAAGAATAATCAATTATATTAAGTGATATTTTTTTTCAAAAGTACTCGTACTCTTTACTCGTGTTTTCACGATTACTACTTGTAACCGTAATCTCTCTTTACAAATTTACTTACGAGTAAATATTTTAGGTACTCGTACTTAAAATTTTACAAATACTTTTTTTAGTACTCGTGCCCAGATCTGGTTGCCTAAAAGAAATTGCCTGAAATTACCTTTAATTAATATTTATTCACAACATTGAATAAAGGGTTCAAATCTTTAATTGACTTTGAATACAATCGTCTAAAATTTTGTAAAATCATGACCAATAAAATTACAAACCAAATCCAAATACTAAAAAAATGAGTGTACTTTTTATCTAAATAGAAATGTTAAGAAACAAACTTGTCGTTATTGGAGTAATGAAAATCCTCATCTCATTAGAGAAAATCAAACCCAATATACTGAAAAACTGTGGGCAGGAATTTTGGGAGATTTTATTATTGGCCCCTTATTTATTGACAAAAATTTGAATGGTCAAATTTATTTTGAAATGTTAGATGAAACAATACAGTCACTAATAATAAATGAACTAGAAAATTAAAAATCTTTGGATGTAAATTTATTACATTTTCAACAAGATAAGGCACCACCTCAGTATGTAGTAGCTCATCTACTGTAGCTGTATAAGCTGGGTGGATCAGAATTATCCATAACAGTGGATTCGTAGAAGATTACCAATAGAATGGGCTTCTAGATCTCCAGATCTGACACCATTGGGTCACTTAAAATCTGTGGTCTACAAAACTTAGCCTCATTCTATTAAAGATTTGCGAAAACAAAAAGTTTGAGAATGCCAAGATATTCCACTAAAAACATTTCAAAATATTTGAAGGGAATTTAAGAATAGACTGTACTGTACATTGCTTTGAGCATTTAATTTAAAAAGCTAAAGTTTAAAGTGTTTTGATTATTGTTAAACAATTTTTTATGTTTTTAAGTTTATCAATTTTTTTTTAATTTGTCCTCGAATTTTTTACTAATGTTTTTACGCCAAGAAAATGGTTTAAATTAATATTTAATGGTCTAGTTTAATATTTATAACGAGAAATTGGAATAAATAATTATAATAGTATATTATATCCCAGTGAGCATTTTTTTGTCGCATTTGGGGAAAACTTCCGAAGTTGTGTCATAGCTAGTGTCAATTTGCACACACTTGTTTCGAAACGACGACTGCTGTATGACAAATACGTTTCGAAACTGAAGCACCGTGACACAACACATCAAGGGATATACCTAGGAATTGTGTGTCCGACTGGGTCAACGACTGTTTAGTAATCAGTACTCAATTCCTATACTTTGACGTACACAATGCCCATCTAATGACGTATACGTGTTTAACACAATTCCCAAATTATTACTGCTAAGTCACAGTATACAGTATAAAGTAAAAGAAGACACAAAGTGGTAAATATAATATTAATTGTAACAGCTTTAACTTTATAAAACACAAAGTGCACAACTATGGTAACAATAATATTAATAATGATATTCTTTTAACTTTAATGTTTCTATTTCATGGATGCATCACCATACTAAAGTATATACATATATAAATTTATTATAATGCAATAAATAAACTTAATAATTTAAAATGCCTAAAACAGTCGGAAAACCCAATTTTTCTTGCGACAAAAATTTTTTCCTGTAGTTTTTTGATGCTTTAATGAAATAGAGAGCACCCCTTTGTAAAAATAATAAATAACGAAAAAAAAAATCGTATTTTCAAAAAAAAAAATATTTTTTTACCCATATGTTTGTTATTATAGTTTTTTGGGGTGGTTTATCAAAAAGGATGGTTATTTGTTAATAATTTCCTAATTTCGTTGTAAATATTTGAGTTTAAGTATTTATTAAGTAATGGCTCTGATCATAGAATAATAAAGATGGCTACAGGAAACAAGATTCCCTGTTTGTGCCCTATTTGTGAAACCACACGCAGAGGAGGTATTGTGTGACCCATAAACTACTTCGTTGCAAACATGTTCTACCATTTGTCAATTATAACACAAATAAGACATTGTTTTAGTAAATGTGTCAATTATAGCGCAAAACAGGAATTGTTTCACGCAATACCATGTTTACGCGCATGGCAATACATAACCTATAAAAACAATTGTTAACGTTAACGCATGCAGTTTAGTTTTTCTATGGTTTAAAAAGATGTTTACGCTGGTCACTACCTTAGAAAAAAAGACTGTGTTTCATGTTAGTGCCGGATGGATGGATTAAAAATAATTTATTATATTGGCCGAAACATTTACTAAGATGGGAGGTAGAGAGGCTAAGGGCCGACCCCTGTTATTGTCCTGAGGAAACGACATTTTGTTCTAAACTAATATTTTTTAAACGTGCGTACAAATACGGAATCGCACATCACACAATTACTACAATGTGTTATAAAATTATTTCTTGCGACTACACAGTGTTTTAACAGTTAAAATGCCTATATTGTTTCACAAACAAATCGTAGGTTTCAATCTGGGAAAATTTTAGGTTTAATTCCTACTTTATTTCATACCAAAGTTACCTGTGTGGCTATATGAACACAATGCCTACAGTTTGTTACACTTTACTTTCCACAGATCCCTTTTTGCGACCATGATGGACACATATATGTGTATACACATTAAGGTAACAGTTTTACACAAATCCTTGGTTGCGTCATACATCAAATGGTAGTAAGGAACTGCGACTCGTGTGTATACACAAGTCCTATATTGTGTAATCTATACACAATTCCTCTCTGGTGTCAGGAAGTCATGGTGTCATGACGTCACTGTGTATTTTTTAACACAAAACAAGGTCTCTGCGACGTAACAGCAATGTCGCAATAGACACATTTCCATTTTAGGAATAAAATGCTCACTGGGATGTCAAGTCAAGTCAAGTCAAGAAGAATTTAAAGCCAAATTTTTTTGTTAAACATTTGTTATCTGTCAACTTTTAACGGATTTAACCTCACTTTTTTCTAATTTATAATAAAGCTAAATTCAGCCCGTGACTAAAATACTCAAAAACAACTATTGCTATTCAGCCCGTGACTAAAACGCCATAAAGTCACAGCTTGTCAATGTAGGAGTAAATAAAAATAATTTTGCGCATTTTTTTAAAAATTTAACATTAAAAAGTATTTTTTTACTACCATTAAATAGCCATTTTTAAGAGCTTTCCAATAAGGTATCACAAAGAGGGTGCTTAGTGAATGTCATTTTTGTGGTCATACTGATTCCTCCCACATATTGGTTTTGAAAAAAATTTAATATATTTTTAGAGAATTGCTCGTTTTTAAATAGACTGTATGTACTTACAAAATTTTAACCTTGTAGGTCATAAGATTCAGAAGATACGTTTTTCTTTAAATATATTTATAGATTTATAGATATATCTTATCTTCTTAAATTTTGTAGTAATCTTTAAAATGTTTCAAGCATTTAGGTCTACAGGCAAAAAGATAAAAGTAAACATACTTCATTTTGTATATACCTTGTTCTTTTTTAGGGATTTAAACGTTTTTAAAAAAGAAACTGTTTATGTATTAAAGACAAATTAAAAAAGAGGATTTTAAATTTACAAAGTATATTTCCAATTATTTCTGTAAAAAAGCTGAACTATTTCTATAAAGCATTGACTAAAAATAATAATAGTGATTAATAGTGAAACTCATGCATTCATCTAACAATTTAAAAAAATTAAAAGTAAAGCAAAAATTATCATGGTTTTTAAATTCATAATTTATTTATTTCTTCAGGGAAGCCGTTAAACCTCTTTGTAACTTTTGGCCCCTGTATATTTTTTAAAAGAAAATCGGATTTTTTCTAAACAACTCATTATATCATTCATATATCTTACCATTTCATTAAACATGCTGCAGTTACTCGTGATGCAGGTTCGATGAATTAGATACCCCAATCAAAATATTGACAACAACATTTAAATACTTTGAACTCATTTGTACATATGTATTTTATCTATTTTTTTGTTATGCGATTATGGATTAGCCCTCATGATGTCAAAAGCATGTTGTGATAAAAAATGTATGAATAACAATATAAATAGTGAGTGTATGGTTTAATGACAAAACACATATGTTTATTTAATTAAAATAAAATCACTAATTATCGGCACAAACAGAAAAACTGCACAATATAACAATGAATTAAAAATACTTAATAATACTAAATATCACAGTTTGTCTTTATTTGTGTTTAAATTAGCTATAGATTATCTCAGTGCGATGAGAATTCGTTTTCCGAAAAATCCGAATCGATTTCATCGCTGAATTCCGATTCGGATTCAGATTCGTAAAGTTTATGAGGAATCGGAGGGAAAACGTCATTGACAACCAGAGATTGGCCCGTATAACTGCAAAATTAAAATAACACCAATAATTTTCAGATGCACAACTACTAAATAAAGTCAAAATTAAGATGTGAATATTAAAAGCATGCACGAATTTATAGTGTTTTTTGTACTATCAAGTTGCTTACCTTGACTGGAAAGTCTGAGTTAATTCGTGTTTTAGCTCTCCTTTCGGGTTTATTGTGAAAATTCTTACAATTGGTATACCTACAGCTGTATATGCCCAAACATCCTGAAAATAAGAAATCATTTTTAAGATACAGATACTTATTAGTGTGATAACTCTTGAAGGAGAAATGATTTGCAGTAAATAATCTTTAATCTTAATTCAAGCAGGTAACGGCAAAAAAACATATTGAAAGAAGAAAAAATAGCACCATTCTGTGCACACGTTTTTCTGCTTTAAATATCTTTTGAATCTCTAGTTCCTTACATTTTTTAACGACAACTTTTTAATTATACTTACATTAATTCTGTTGCCGTATCCCGCATAAAAGGGATTGGAATCTTGTGGAAAAAGAGCTTTAATATCGCTCATGCAGGATATTTTAAACTGCTCTGGTTTCTTCTCAATAACCTCTCTATGAAAAGCGGTTATCAACGAGGTGGGGTTAAGCAAAATGGGGCCATCGGGCATTCCCAACTCCCCTTGCTTAATAGACTTTAAATATTCTCTTGTAATACGGGCTTGACCGATAGCTCTGGCACTGAGATACAATAATTTGTAACCATTGTCTTTGATTTTGTTAAATAATTGGGCTACTCCAGACTGCGCCCAATCTTTACCAACGATTGGCAAAATATGGCCCAGCACGTCGGATTTTGTGATTGTACCGTCAATATCGGAAATTACGATTTTGTCATCCCATTTCCATTTGTATAAGTGACATTGGCATCTAGTTGTGCCTTGATAGGCTGTGGTTACGCTGAATTCTACTTCGTTCATACCATCACGTAAGTTTAAGGAGGCCTAAAAGGAAAAGTTTTTAATATTTTTAATTGAAAATATTTAATATTTTTATACAAAATTTTATAAAAAATATTAAAGTGTGGTAACTTACAATTTGTTTGGAGCTCAATCTTAAAGTCTTTCTGCATTTATCGGTAGACGGGCTGGTTCCGGAGATATTTTGCTCCATATCTTCAATAGGGATGTGTATATTTTTTGGAGTGATGGGTTGCTCCTCCTGTACGGCTAAAACAATCTCCTCAACCGATTTTTCTTTGGTATCGACAGTCTTACTATCAGGTATTTCTAAAGCTGGAGTTGCTTCCCTGGATGTTCTGGATCTTCTCCACGACCACCAAGATCTTGCTTCCTGTTTTGGTTGACCTTCTTTGTCTTGAATTGAGGGCATGTGTACCGATACCAGTTGATCTACGGAAGTTTGTAGAAGCGGTCTACCGTAGATCATTATGCTGGCAATAATAGGGGCCGCGACTTTCCACGTGAAATACTTTTCCTTGATACGCACAACCAAACTATTGCTTTCGAATAATATCGGATTATTGCAGAGATCACTGAATTTCACGACGTTCTCCAAAAATCTCTCTTTGGAGGGCTCCGGCTCCCATCCGCACAGCGACAGCGAAATATCGTTAGAGAAAACTTGCGTCCTAAAAATACTTTACTTACAAAATAGCAAAACACCACGAAAAATAACAACGTACGATTTGTTGTGCTCGTCAAAATCGGAATCGATGGACTTGCATCCTTCCGCGCTGTTGGGACTCTGAGCAAGCGACGGTCCATTCCCTGATTCACAATCCATTTCGGCATCTAATAGTTTTAAGTTTTACACTTAGATACATGACAGAATGCAGGCCACAAGTTTTACACTATTGCATAACCTTAATCTAAACTACTGTATCCCCAAAAGTAAACCCGATTTTTACGTTAAATATAGGTCGATATATTGGCAATATGTGCTCAAAGTTTTATATTTATAAGGTGAAACACTAAAAAGATCTTTAGTGATAAATGAAATTGTGATTTTAAGAATATATAACGTTTTTAATGTGTACTAACTTACAAACCTAAACAAATATTAGAAATATTCCCAAACACCAAAACAAAACACAAAGTGCTTAAAGTACTTTTCACCAACGATGTTGGCATCTTCAGAAGCGATGTGTAACTAAATCTAACTGATAAATCTATCATATTTATACTAATTATAAGCCAAGGTTGACTGAACCATGAACGGACACAGTTTACTAAACTGTGGACCGTAACTGCTTCAGTGAACTCGTAAAGCGAAACTAACAAACTAATTTATACAAACTAGAGTTGGGTACCGGTCCGTTATCGCTATTAAAAGATTAATTTATATTCTTATAGATGTATAAACTTTCATAACTATCTAGCAGACTTGGTTCCCTAACTTCCTTAATAAGTTTAAGATTGTCAAATCCTATTCTATTTAAGTATATGTTGGGTAACACTCGATTTCTCTGTCCTACCAAATCTAGCATGGGCCAAGTGCTCTTTAGTTTTTCCAATATATTTCTTGTCACAATCTTGACAGTTTATCTCGTAGATCCCCGACTTTTCAATTTTAAAAATCTTATCTTTTGGGTTGCCTAAAAGGGTCTGGAGTGTATTACTGCTTGAACTAAAAGCAATTAAAGTCCAGTTTTCGAAAAATTCCTTCCAGACCTCGAGTGTACTGGGTTTGAAAGGAATGGTGATAAACTTTACTTTTGTGGGCTCTGTTTGAAAAGTCGTTAATATAGAATGGCAAGACTCAGGGCCGGATTAAGAGTTTTGAGGCCCTGGGGCCGACATTTGGTGGGGGCCCTCAATATTTCTAAAAATGTTGACACTTGGGAAATTTTTTATTATCTGAATCATTTATTATTTAAAAAAAATTTAATAAAATCGGCCAAAGCGTTTTTAAGCTATAAATAAAAAACGAAACACCCTATATCTCGATAATGAAGCATTTTCGGACACGTGTTTATAGGAACTTTTTTTCATATTTTGATGAGAGGAATTTCCCCTGAGCTTTTGTCACCACAAGTCTGAATCACCCTGTATATTTTGAATAATACATTTTACGTCTGAGAAATTATAAATTCGTATGCAAAACTATAAAAGCGTAGATAGTAGAATAGAATTGTGAATGAAAGTGTTTTTATATACTTTATATATTTTGAATAATATGAACATACCCTTATATATATTTTACTCAAGTAAAATATAAATTGTTTTGTTTGTATTTTTAATACTTTCAGCAAACTGAAAAAAAGTGCATCAAAAGTCGTATATTTGTCTGTTTTTCATACAAAATCAAACAATAAAACAATCTTTTGTCCAAAGAAAAGCACGAAACAGTATTTCGGAAACACCGGAAAATATTCCACAACACTCCAATGTACCAATAAAAATCTGGGACAAAAACTAACTTTAATATTAGATTATAAGTAATCGACTGTTTGACTGTATTTACAAAAACGTTACGACAAGCACTAAAGGAGCAACTGCTTAAAATTGTTATGAGTCATAACTTACGACTATAGACTATATAAAAACGTCTTCGCGCGCCAAAACTTTGAGTGTGATAATTTACATTCTGATTTGCAAGCGGATAAGCGATAAAAAATCCGCGAAAAATTAGAGTTAGATCTACGAAAAATTAATTGAAAATTACAGGATTCGCGCGGTATGACCGACCCAATTTTTTGTTTTTTTCGTCAATTTTTTTCATATTTGTTTCATTAAAAAGCTACATATTGCATTGGTGAGGGCCCCTAAGTGGTGGGGGCCCTGGGGCCGTGGCCCCGCTGGCCCTATGCTAAATCCGGCCCTGGCAAGACTTAAATTTAATTTACTAACTTATCTACTAGGGTGGGTTCAAAACCATTGTCTCTAGCAATGTCTTTTATAAAAATGAGCTCTTTCTTGTATCTACTGTTATTAAGTGGAAAGTTTATAAACTTACCTACGAACAAGAAAGTTAAAACTAGCCTGCTTATGTTGTGTGCAGTGGTTCGAGTCCGAAGTGATGTAACGTCTGCTCAGCGCTTGTGGGTTTTCTGTAGGTATCGAACTCTAGAGTATTGTTAGATCTAATCGATTAGTGATTACTAGGGTATCTAAAAATGGAAGCAGGCCATCTTTTTCCAATTCAAAGGTAAATTTAATAGAGGGAATACAATTATTCAATTTGGAAACAAAATCGTCTAAACTGCAAGCGTTTTGATCGAACATAGCAAAGATATTGTCCACGTATCTTAACCAAATCCTCGGAAAATACGCGGAGCTACTAAGTTCCTTCTCAAAGCGGCTCATGAAAAGATCAACTACAGCTCCAGGTATTTTCCGAGGATTTATTAAGATACGTGGGCGATATCTTTGCTATTTTAGATCAAAACGCTTGCAGCTTAGATGATTTTGTTTCCAAATTGAATAATTGTATTCCCTCTATTAAATTCTTTTTTGAATTGGAAAAAGATGGCCAGCTACCATTTTTAGATACGCCAGTGATTAGATCTAACAATACTCAGAGTTCGATATCTACAGAAAACCTACAAGCTCTGCACCGTGCAGACTGCACGTTACATTACTTCAGACTCGAACCTCTGCAAACAACATAAGCAGGCAAGTTTTAACTTTCTTGTTTGTAGGTTGGTAAACATTCCACTTAGTAACAGTAGATACAAAAAAGAGTTCAGTTTTATGAAAGACATTGCTAGAGACAATGGTTTTGAACCCACCCTAGTAGATAAGTAGTAAATTAAATTAAATTTAAGTCTCGCCTTTCTAGGTTAACGACTTTTCCAACAGAAGAAGTTTATGTCCATTCCTTTCGAACTTGACTTAAAAATTGCTTTTAATTCAAGCAGTAACCCACTCCAGACCCTTTAAGGCAACCCAAAAGATAAGATTCCTAAAATTGAAAATTCGGGGATTTTCGAAATAAACTGTCAAGATTGTGACAAGAAATATGTTGGACAAACTACACGATTCATCCAAGTAAGGTTTAAAGAGCACTTGGCCCATGCTAGATTTGGTAGGTCAAAGAAATCGAGTGTTGCCCAACATATACTTAATGATGGTCATAGAACAGGATTTGACAACCTTAAACTTATTAAGGAAGTTAGGGAACCAAGTCTGCTAGATAGTTATGAAAGTTTAAACATCTATAATGGAAATAAATCTTTAAATAGCGATAACGGCCGGTATCAGACTCTAGTTTGTATAAATTAGTTTGTCAGTTTAGTAAACTGTGTCAGTTCACGGTGCAGTCAACCTTATCTTATAATTAGTAGATTAAGCAGTAAGATTTAGTTACACTTCGCTTCTAAAGATGCCAACATCGTTGGCGAAAAGTACTTTAGGCACTTTGTGCTTTGTTTTGGTGTTGGGGAATATTTATAATATTTGTTTAACATATTACCAAAGTTGTCCTTTATTAAGTAACTTACAAACCAACAAAGATATTAATGTAAAATTCGATGTGGATAATATTTATAGTTTTTATTCAAAAATATTAAAAGAAGAAAACAATCATGTCAATTTTTTTTTAATTTCTTAAGAAAAACAAAATGTATTTAAATATAGACAAGTGTGCAATTATAACATTTACAAGAAGAGTGAACTACATAAGAGCATCATACAGTGTTAATAGCGAGCACCTTGTTCGGAAGTCTCAATGCAAGGACCTGGGTGTCTTTTTCCAAAGCAACTTTAAGTTTAATACTCACTATGAACATATTGTAAACAAAGCCTACAAGATCTTAGGCTTTGTAATTAGAAATACAAAATATTTCAGAGACACTAAATGTATAATCAAATTGTTTAATGCTCTTGTGAGGCCTCATCTTGAGTATGCTTCTGTTGTATGGTCACCTCGGGCAGAAGTCAACATAGATCTTATAGAAAGGGTTCAAAAAAGATTTCTTCGGTTTCTATATGTCAGGGTGCATAACCTCTATCCATATATGATCTCCTACAGAAGCATGCTTGAGGAGTTCAATTTTGTCACACTCGAAAGAAGGCGGTCATTGCAGGCTGTACTTCTTGTATATTTTATTATCAACAACTTAAAGTATAAAAATCTTCAATTGATGAATTTTGTTAAACTATTGGTCCCAAAGATACATTTGCGCATGCAGGGAAGTAATATGTTTTATTTTGATCTAACAGACTGCTCCCCATTTAGAAATATGCTGGAGCAATGCAACTTATTATTGGAAGTATCCAACATTGACCTATTTATGGGAAATAATACCAAAGAAATTAGATCACACTTTCTCTCATTCTAGTCTTTTATTCTTAGTTTAGGCTACTTTTACACCTGTGTTTGTCTTGTTACTGTTATTGTATTTAGATTTTAATTATATACATGTATTTATCTCTTACTTTTAATTACAATTTGTATTGTGTTTGTAAGTAGTATCAATAAATAAAATAAATAAATAAATATCTTTCAAACGCGTTTATATGAAATTTGGCAGTTATAAACAATACCCCAAAGAACATCTCTACAAAATTTCACTTTAAAGTATCGCCCAACCCAAGTTACAGGCAAGAAACAACTACATTCCTACATGCTCAACCTCTTACCAGTTTGCTTCTCCTCTTTGCTCTTATTGAAGTAAAGCTCGGCAACCTCGGGATTGATGTCTGACAAATACATGCCGCCCTCTATCAGTTGGCTCTGGACGCTGTGCTTTTGTTTCATGAAGGAGAACATTCCCGACAGCATGGATTTTTGTTCTTCCTTTGAGGGAGTTTCGCTTGTGGGCGATTTCGTTTGCGAGACGCTTGGAAAACCGCCCCACTCCCAGCTTTTTGGGTTCTCCGTTATGTCTTCTGGAAGAGGAATATTTAGAGTGTTTATTTAAGTTTTTGAGATGGTTTCTTACCTTTTCTAACTTTCACTTCGAACTCGGAATCACTTTGAACACTTTCGATATGTACAGGTGTTCCACTTCTTGAATCGTTTCCGTTATTTGTGGTTATTTCAGTATCGCTGAAAAAGTGGAAGTCGGCATCTATCATTTTGATGTTTGATGGTTCAGTTAAGTTTAGATTTGCTTCTTCAACTTTGCCTAGTTTTTCTAGTTTCTGTAATTCAGGTTCAGAAGAGTTGCTATCCAATGAACTTCTATCGGTGTTTGAATCGCTGATTTTTTCAGCAACTTCAACATTTGGTGTTGTCAATTGGTGCACACTATTTGATTTTCTTGCGGCATTTTTTCTTCGCATTTTTTTTCTCTTTTTTTTATTATTTTTGGAGTCAGTCACTGTCTCTTCTTTCTTCGGAACTTCCTCTACTTTACTGGGCTCCATATCCAAACTATCCATTTTAAATATAGTTTCCGATATATCCTGACTCTTGCTTATATCCTCAGAACTAACTTTAACCGAATGTATTGAAAGCGTCATATCCTCCGCCGAGTTCTCCAGAGTTTCAATATTCCCTAACCCAATTTGCCTCTGCAAAAAACTCCTCCCCCTCGTATTAGGATTCTCGTTATCCGCAGTATTTCTTCTCTTTGCGTAATCGCTGACTTCATTCTCGAACTTGGGCATTTCGTTTATTAAATCGAAACTTCTACGTCTGCCTTGAGACTTTATCATACTTTCAAACTCCAGTGGTATCGGTGACGTGGCTAAATGATCGGGAATATCGTTTTCATCGTCCAATTCTTCAACGAAAAACGCTTCCCCGCTGTCACCCAACTTCATGTGGATGTCTTGAGGTTCGCCATTTATTTCAATATCAACCTGAAGGAAAAACGTTGTTAATAGGAAAGCAGACATTATTGTTAACCAAAATTTGGGGGGAATAAAGTTCAAATGGTTAATATGTGTAGAAAATGTAAAGATTGTACGTCTTCAGATTTAAAAGATATTTAAAGAAAAAACAGTGCAAAATGTGTATTCTTTCAATATCTTTTTTTGTATTTAGATCAACAAACTTGGTGCATATATGTGTTAGGATAATCCCTTTTTTACCAAAGTAGGACAGTAGAGCAATAAAGGCACGTGTGCCTACTAAGCAAAACAATCTGGGCACAGCTTAGAAATCGAATGGTAACGCAGAGTCCGCAGAACATTTGTAGAAGTCGAATCATAGCAGTTTAATAAATTTAGTTAAAAAGTAATAAATAATAAGTGAAGCCAATCAAATTAGTTTTATTTAGGGTAAAATACCCTGATGTTTTACATCAGAAGTGGGATAGTGATTTCCATGTACAATAATTAGTTTAGTTGAGTTAAATTAAGTTAATTTATAATAAACAAAAGCAGACAAAGAGTGAGTGCATCAAGATGGCAGATGAGTTATCTAGAGTTGAAAATGACAATTTATGTGGTGATGATTTAGATGCAGAAGAAATTTCACAACCTCCAACTCCAAAACGCGTCAAAATGTGGCAAGAAACTTTAATAAATTTAGTTGTGACGCAACAGCAACAACTTGCTGAGTTAGCAAATCAAACCAAGATGGCAATGTCCCAAGCACCTCTGGCAAGGACCACACCTAGTTCATCTGACGAAAATGCGCATGCGTCTTTATCAAGACATGTGTACTCTTTCCATGTCACAAGCTACGATCCCGATAAAAGTGCCTATTTAATCAAAGATTGGTTGGATAATGTCACCCAGCTTAAAAGGGAACTAAATGTAAGTGACATTGTAATGATCTCAAAAGCAGGAGATGCACTGAAACGTCGAGCATACAAATACTTTTGTGATTGGAGACCCATTTCCCGAACTTGGGAAAACTTTTGTAATGACCTAACTGTAGCATTTCCTGATCGAGAAACACCAGGAGCACGAGCATATACTGCAGCAACTCTTAGCAGTCGTTATTGCGAATCATTGTGTGATTATGGTAATAAAAAAATAAGTGCAATAAAAAAATTTCACGATGAACTGCCATGGGATACCATTCTGGGCATGGTAGAATATAATTTAAATAATGCAGAGGCGCAATCAGCAATTAGAATTCAGAAGCCTAGTACAGAACGCGAACTAATGAAATTGTTGAGTGAATACGATGCACGCCGAATCAGCAGTTCTTCTGGAATAATGGAACACAAGCTTGGAAGACACCGAAAAGATCAACGGGATTCAAAAAGTTTTTGTGCACAAAAAGAAACAAAGGTTTTTAAAGGAGCCTGTTTTAAGTGCGGTCAACAAGGACATCAGTAAAGAAAACTCCCGAAAAGAAGTTGTTTCTGCCAATAAAAGCGAATTTTCAATTGTTCCTACTTGTGCGCATTGTAAAAAAATGGGTCATATGGAAATAAACTGTTGGTATGAAAGTGGAAAACCAAAAAAAGCATTGATACTTAAAAAATGACGTCAACTGAATTTAACACCAATAGCAACAGTGCTCGGTAAAGACGATGCAGTATCATGTAGTTATGTTATTGAAACACTGTGCGATGTGTCAATCATCAAACGCTCTCTTGTAAAGCCGAACGAAAAAGTGCACGCGTTGACAGGATTTGGGAACCAAATTGTTTATGCTATAAGAGTGTGAACTAATAACTGTGTTGTCGATCGTGACCTAGGAAATTTGTTTTATTGTTGTGCTGGATGAAATAATTCCAAGTGATATTGACATTATTATTGGATGGGCGCGATAATTTTGTCGACGCAGACAAGGCCGTCGAAGACGCTCGAAATCGAATGAACTTTAATGCAAACAAACAATTTTTACGATTTATCGCTACTCGATGCTCTACAAAATTGTTTATTCCTGGTGACGTTGTAGCCATTGAAGATTCACAAATTGCTGGTGGAGGCAAATTAAAACCAAAATATAGAGGACCTTATACTGTTCGACAGGTGTTACCAAATGAGAGATATGTTCTGCACAAGAGGACCACAGTTGCTGCCCTTGAACAGCTGAGGCCGTGGCCAAAGGAATAAAAAAATGTAAGTCCTGTATTTAATAATAATAATAAAAAGACAAGATAGTAGCAATCCTACTATGCTTGGGAGGTGACTAAACATCTCGGTGAAAGTGGCAATCCCACTGTTAAGGATGGCAACCCATCCGACAAAAAAAAAAAAAAACAAAAAAAAAAACAAGATAGTAGCAATCCTACTATGCTTGGGAGGTGACTAAACACCTCTGTGAAAGTGGCAATCCCACTGTTGAGGATGGCAAACCCATCCGACAAAAAAAAGACAAGATAGTAGCAATCCTACTATGCTTGGGAGGTGACTAAACACCTCTGTGAAAGTGGCAATCCCACTGTTGAGGATGGCAAACCCATCCGACAAAAAAAAGACAAGATAGTAGCAATCCTACTATGCTTGGGAGGTGACTAAACACCTCGGTGAAAGTGGCAATCCCACTACTGAGGATGGCAATACCATCCGACTTTAAATTAGTTTAAATTTAGATATATTTCAACTTTAAAAACAAAAATCTGTTTCGGTTTTTCTTTTTGCAGAAATAAAAAAAAAGAAAAGGAAACGGCGCGAGGACGCTCCGAAAACAGGATGGCCGTGTTAGGATAATCCCTTTTTTACCAAAGTAGGACAGTAGAGCAATAAAGGCACGTGTGCCTACTAAGCAAAACAATCTGGGCACAGCTTAGAAATCGAATGGTAACGCAGAGTCCGCAGAACATTTGTAGAAGTCGAATCATAGCAGTTTAATAAATTTAGTTAAAAAGTAATAAATAATAAGTGAAGCCAATCAAATTAGTTTTATTTAGGGTAAAATACCCTGATGTTTTACATTTCGCCATTTATTTCAATATCAACCTGAAGGAAAAACGTTGTTAATAGGAAAGCAGACATTATTGTTAACCAAAATTTGGGGGGAATAAAGTTCAAATGGTTAATATGTGTAGAAAATGTAAAGATTGTACGTCTTCAGATTTAAAAGATATTTAAAGAAAAAACAGTGCAAAATGTGTATTCTTTCAATATCTTTTTTTGTATTTAGATCAACAAACTTGGTGCATATATGTATTAAAAAATTTCAAGGAATGTTGGCACTAAATGTCATTTAAAAATCTTTATTTTTAATTGAATAAACAAAGATTTCTAGATTTCTAGAACATTTGTTATAAATTAACCTTATAGTATCGTTAACATATTAAGGAAATTTTAACATAATATTAAAATTCATTGTTAAGATATTAAAATAAGAAAAAATCATCATCATCAAAATGTAGTTATTTGACCTAATGGATAGGTTGCACTATTATATCAATGAAACAAAGGTAATATTAACCTTGTTTTGTTTAAATATAGTAATTACTAATGGTAAATTTATTGTTGATTGGCATTCAAATGTGTAAAGTTCAACTTTTGAAAACAAAACATTAAAAAAACTTTGAACGTTTTTATTGATATAACTCACTACACACACAGGTACGTGAGTGGGATCAAGAATTTAGTGAGTGTTATGTATTTTTTTTATTAATTAAGTTATACATACTATGGAGAAAGGCAGTAACTGCTAAACAAGAAATTTATGGGAAATTAGCATAAACTACATTTTTATAAAAAGCAGTAGGTATTTAATGGATTTATTTAACTTATGAGATAGTTCACTGCATTTCTGTGTTGAATTATGATACAAAATGTCCATAGCTTTATTATAGCACAAGAAAACGCATTTTAAATTTTTTGGTAGTTACTGCCTTTCTCCATAGTAGGGCAGTATATTAAGGAGTAGGTATATTAATACGAAATAAATATTAAATTGAATATCTCGAGTGAAATTTGTCCCTATATGGATAATACAAGGAGTAAAAATGTTGCCTTAGTCTAAGAAATTGGAAAGGATTTCATGCAGGCTACGCAAAAAGAATAATTAAGGAAATTTTACTACAAGTTAGAGAAAATACAAACATTGTTTACTTATTTTAATTTTGGCAAGTGGACAAGACACGTGAATTTCGAATGAAGGAAAATGTTTAAAAAAAGGTCATATATTTTATTTAAAAAAATTAAATGTCATTATTTACATATTATATTATAATTATTATAACAATATTAATATTATCTCATTGGTGTCAACTGTGTGCAACATTTTTCCAAAATTTTAAAATCATAAAATATGTAAGTTCTAAGAAAAACTTACCACTTTTTCCCTACTTCTCAAAACTCCCAACTTCCCGAACCGAACATGAAAAGGAGAGCAGTTGTAACTCCCATCCTGTTGTTCCACAACTATGACATCTATAGCACCTGTCAAAGTTGCTCCGTTTATTTCGTTATAAAACTCCTTAACGGAGCTAAACATTTTCATCATCCCGTGCATATTTCAGTACTTTTTCATGTACCAGAAATATAACTAATAGTTTTTATACACACTTAAAACAAACTAAAACTTCACTCCAAGTGCTTCTTCATGGCAAAAAACTTTATTTAGAGAGTACAATATTTTTGCGAAACTGTACTGTAATTGTTTTGTTTTGGTGCGCTCTCGTCTGCAGTTTGAATCGTTGTGCCGGCGTAAAAACAATTGCTGGCTATTTTGGTTGCGTCCTGGGCTATGCGCAGTCGTTTATCTCGGTGGGCCTGGAACGTAAGATGGCTCGATTAAAAAAATTGGCGATTAAATAATAACAAAATGATAACGTTTGTTTTCTGTTTCAAAGCGTGTTCTTGTGACGTCTTTGAAAAGAGATAGTTGTGCTAGAAGTGTTGATCTTTTTATTTCGATTATGTTGTGAAATGTTTATATGTATACCTAATAACAGAGTAGGATGCAAAATATTTGTTTAGGATTTTTTTTATATCATAAAAAAATTAAATAATGTGTAAAAACATTTTATTAGTTTTAATTTAAATTAATTTATATTGAATGTATCAATTAAATTTATATTTAATTTTTTTTGATGAAAAAAGTTTTAATAGTGTTTTTAACAACCAACTCGTGTAACAACTCTGTTATTACGATATATATATGTATAAACATTTTACAACATAAATATTAATTATTTTTTGACATTTCTAAAAACCAATAGAAACTTTTAATTTCAGTCACATGAGTACACCAATCAAAACATTATTATAGTGCAAATAATCTACTAACAATATTGCCGGGACAATACAATTCATTATAATTAGAACCAATAAAATGCCAGTATTCCATAGTTACGCATTTTATCACAGCGGCAATATTTTTTATCACCTTGTTTACACGTTGCTAAGGATTTTGACACTTTTCTTGATTTGACATTTGTTGACATTTAAATACTGTGTTTGTTAAATGAATAAAATAATGAATTATAAACTCTAAAAGATCGATGGGTTGGTGTAAACGATAATAAAATTAAGGTAAGTTTGAATAAATAAGGTTTATTAAAGTCTTTTTATATTTTAAAGCACATTTTAATTTCAAATGCCAAACTAACAATTCGTTAAATCCTAAAATTCATTATATTTTCTCACTAAATATAACTCGTGGTATGATTAATTATCGATGATATTTACTCAATGAAACCGAAGCAGCACATATCACTCGTCCTGCGGACTCGTGAAATCTGCAGCTCGGTTTCAATTCGAAAATATCATCGATGATAATCATACCACTTGTTATATCGATTACTTTCTGCCAAAGTATCGCAAGCAACATAACTTAAATTTCGGGAATTGAAAACATTTTTTGTTTTAAAATCTGTTTTAAACCTACAGGTTTCATAACCAGTAAATAGCTATAATTATAAGCTATTTACTTGTTATAAAACCTTTAGGCTATATTTAATTTAAAACAGACTTTAAAACAAAAAATGTTTTCAATTCCCGAAATTTCAGTTATGTTGCTTGCGATACTTTGGCAGAAAGTAATCGATATAACAAGTGGTATGATTATCGATATGGGTGAGAATAATTTAATGGTTGTTTATGCCATAAGGCATGGCATAGGTACAACATTTTATGTTCAAGGCATAATTTTATTTATTCAACTCCCATTTCATTTCTTAACTTTAACCAGTGGGCGAAATTTTACTTCGCCCACGGGATGAAGTTAGCTTTAAGTTAAAATTGGAAAAAAGTGAGGTTAAAATAGCTGTCAGATTTTATATTAAAATTTAATATCAAATAAAATTGGCTTTAAATTCCTTGTGGTAGTAAATAAAATATTGTGTGCGACTCTTGGTCAAAAGAGGAGATGTGCTGAGCTCAATTAAGTAAATCACAGTTTTATTTTTTAAACGATAAATAAAACGCACTTACAATTGAATCGGTTAAATTAAGAACAGTACAAGTCCAAAATAATTCAACTATTTTAGAAAATATAATAATTAAATTTTATAAAATGATTTAAATCTTACAAAAATGCATTTTAAACTTTTAAATTGATTTTAGAAAATGATTTGTTAATACAAAAATTTTGGACTTGTATTCTTCCTAATCTCACCGATTCAATTATAATATAGCTTTAGAGTTGTCAGCAGTTATCGAACTTTTTTATTGGTTCTAACGGGTTTGTATACAGATTGGATGTAAAAAACTTGACCTGATTGGTCTGTATATTATATTTACAACCTATATACAGGCTGTATATATAATATCAAAGTATTCGGTTATCTCCTATAGGAGATAACCGAATACTTTGATGGTGGGCCTTGACAATAATAAACCTTAAATTATAGAACGCTTAAAGATAAAGTATTTTTTAGAAATTTGTGTTTACTGTTAAGGCACTATTGTTACGTTAAAAAATAATCCATCTTATCTGTTGACATTTGGGTCTCGTGTCTATTTCCTGGCAACAGATTTTCGAAAATCAGTCGAATTATTTTCCATTTATGCTAACAATATTGTGCTATTACTACTGAAAATATGCATACAATTTGAATGCATATTTTTTATCAAAACATTTTTTTGATATTTAATACATATTTTTGTTTACATTGTAATTCCTATATCTGATAATAAATTTTTAATATTTTGCCATGCTTTTCTTGATTGTTTGTTTTTATTACATTTTTCATATATGAAATATATTTTTATCTAACTACAAACCCAGCTGTTCGACAACACACACCATTCAAAGCCAAAAAATTATAAATTTTCCTTATCAAAATTACCCAACGTTTATTTAAATTATCGTACATTAAAGATAAACTGTTTTATTTAGTAACAATATTCACGTACAAATAAATCTCAAAGTAACTTCACATACGGATCCGTACATACTTATTACGTATCAAGTATATATGTTGTTTATATAAAAAAAACATCTGAATGCTAAACAATTTTTGTGGCGATCATGTTTGATTGAACTTTCTTATCATTCAGGGTTACGTAAATTAAAATGATAATTTCAATGATCATTGTATTTCAACCATGCAAATTGTACTGTACGTGCGAATCTTACTATTATTATACACTATATACTATTATTTGTATTCTAATAGCGTTAGTGGTGGCTAGTCAGGGGTGGCAGAGCCTCCTCAAAAATTTAAATCATTTTAATTATTTTATCAACTACATAAATAGCTATTAGTGATTAATTAGTAAAATTGTAATTCAATTTCCGATCATAATTATTATTACAATAATATCTTTTAGTAATAAATAAAAATAGTGAACTACGTCACAGAGGAGGCTTCGCGTCCGAAGATTATGTTGATATTCAAAATGCATTATGCAGTATATAGCATAGAAACAGTATATGGTGGAGGTTAGCCGATCGAGAGCGCTTATTTTAAAGTCACCATGTTAGTAGAAATAATAATAGATGGCGCGTAAAAAATAAGATAAATCTATAGGTAAGGCATTAAAGAGCTTAAAACCGTTAATAAATAACTTCTTATTAAATTATAAAAACGACTTAGTGTATTTATGAGCATTGCTTTGAAAATAACAGCTTTTGGCGACATCTGTTCCAATATTGACAGTTCAAATCTTATAAATGTGTCGTTTTGTTAATTTCATTTTGTGGTGTTTTGTTTTGGTTAAACATGGAAACAGTGGAAGAAATTAAAATGTGGGGAGATTGTAGAATGGCTTGTTTTCTTCGTTAGGAATTACTTGTATTTTTAAGTTATATTATTGTTTTCTTCCTTAGGTATTACTTGTATTTGTAAGTTATATTAATAATTAATATTAACAATTATTGTCTTTTCTTGGCTCCACAAAAATTTCAGACTAGATTTTTAATGGCGAAAGCGTCTGACCACGAGATGTCACTGATAGCGTGTTAAGTTTATTTAACATTTGACTAAATGTGGCAACGCTGTATGATTAAAAAGTTGGTGGTGGACTTATCGAGACAAGATTTGACTTTTTACACGAAGAAAATATTTCACATTTAATTAAAATATTCATTCCAAAAATAAGTTAATTTTAATATCATTACAATAATTATCATATATGTACATTAGGGTGTCCCTTATTTTTATTTTTTTTACGCATACCCTCTAATTATATTTATTACGTGTTTATATACTCCCAGTAAAAATTTCAGCTCATTCTATAAACGGGAACCCGTGCCGACTTGCATCTGAACCCTCTGTTAGCCAACGTTAGACGCGCGGTATTACACGGTAGGTCTTCGATCGTAAGTCATTTTGTGTTTGTTATTATGTGACCCTTATATTATAAATTATTGACAAATGTTAAAATATAGTTTTATTTATGTGTATACTTTGATAAAAATGTATATTTTCACAGGGAGTCGCTAGTTACCCGGAAGGGTCTGGCCGTAAACTCTGAAATTGATAAACTTAATGGGTTTTACTCTAAATAACTAAAAAAGTATATTGTGAGAGATGACTACCGAAAACTTATTGAACTGTCTGAAATATTTTTGGGAGGACATCAAGAAAAGAAATGCTTATAAAAAGCTGAAATTTCATACAACAGTATATTTTAGCAATACTAATTAGAATATTAATATATTTAAGGGATAAAATCAACTAAATTAGTGAAACAAATGATAGAAACAAAAGCAATAATATTAATTAGTAATAATATTTAATAAAATCATTAGAAAAATACAGTCATGAAGTATATCTTCTTTTTAAAGTGTTTCGTGTTACAAAATACCGCGCGCGCATAACGTTGGCTAACGGAGGGTTTAGATGCAAGTCGGCACGGGTTCCCGTTTATAGAATGAGCTGAAATTTTTACTGGGAGTATATAAACAAGTAATAAATATAATTAGAGGGTATGCGTAAAAAAAATAAAAATAAGGGACACCCTAATGTACATAATAAAGGTACTCAAATAATTAATAAAATATCTACGCATTAAAAATAAAAGATTAATTTCTACTTAAATATTAAAATTATTTTGAAGTTATCTAAATTATTAGTTAATTAGAATGATTCTGTGATTGAATCACATGTGTGATAAAACAACGAAAATAAATAGAAGCAAACAAAAAGCAAATACGTAAAACATATTGTTATCAGGAAAATGCAGTAAAAACAAAGGAAGTGGCTGATAAAAATAAACAAACATTAAAGTTATTTATGTGATTAGGCTGAGAAGTAGTGTTTTGAAATTTCCAGAAAAATTGAGCCAGCCGTTTTTTATAAAAAATTCAAAAAATTAAAAAAATA